ATATTATGGGGTGTATGTCCTCCAGAACCATCTGGAAAAAAATACATTTAAAGTTCTTAAATATTTGTTTTATTACTGTACATCAGCGAAATATCGGTTTTATTATTTAGAGCAGGGGTGTTCAACGTTTTCCAGGCCAAGGACCCCCAAACCTAATTATATATATTGTATAAAATTATGTTATATCAAACTGGTCCTATAGTCACTCTATTACAGATGGAGTAATGTAATGAAAGTAATTTCTTCCCTGGGATTATTAAAGTATTTCTGATTCCTGGTTGATGGGACAGGTGTTGTGAATGAAACGGTGTCCAGCTTGAAAGAGCTCCTGTGTGTCGCTGAATGTGTGCATTGATGACTGAAAGACATCTTCTGCCTCCATTTATCTGTTTACTACAGTGTGTTGAATTCATGTTAATGTGGATTTAAAGACATTTAATTAGTGGAAAAAATTGCAGGGGGGAAAATAAAAAAAAAGTCTAATCAACCATAACTTTCCCCCCATGTAGCACCTCCATGGACCCCCTAGGGGTCGCGGACCCCCTGTTGAAGACCTCTGATTTAGACTTTTTTCTAGTTGTTTTGGTTTCATTAATTGCTCAACCTTAAAATGGATGGAGAGCATCTGTGAACAGGATTAAAGTTTAACCACATCTGGATTCAGGGCTGGATGATCTGACTCCTTCTGACACACTAACCAAACACACCCAGTAGCTCTGGCTGTATCTAAGCGAACAGCCATGATTTGCTAGGCTTGCATTTTTTTGTGAGATTGCTGCAGCATCTAGCCCTATTCTAAGCCACATCTTTCTCCCTGGCCTGTCTTCTGATCTTTATTTTGTCTAATGTTCCCAGACAAACCTCTGAGGCCAAAAACAGAACTCTAGATTTTAATATAGTTTAAATTAAACACGTCGACTCTGCTTGTTAATTGTGTGACTTTAGAAGGTGATTGACTACATTGAATTTAATATTTAGGGGTAGTGGAGTAAAATAGTTCCATCACACCTTTCATATTCTTATTTTTAAGATTTTCTTCCCCGTCTCTTGACAGTTAAGCATTTCCTTTTGTTAGCTTATCAAAAAAAAATCTTAATTTTGAAGCCAGGGATTTTAATGTCATATCAATACTTTTTAAATTACAGTACCTACTGAAACAACAATATAGATATTCTTAAGGGAAGCTTTGAGAAGCAGAAGTGATTGATTTGTTAAAAGCAATATTTTTGTATTCTTTTTATTGGAATAGAATCAAAACATCTTTTTTTTTTTTGTCTCTCCGTGGGGAAATTCAGGAGCATTAGCTGCTACTCCAGGTTGATCTGGGAGTTTTCTGCCTCCTACATGGCGGTGAGATTGCTCCAAAGGGACCTATTGCAGCAACACAAACTGTTATGATAGAGAATCACACATCTTGAGCTGTATATATATATAAATATAAAAAAAATCAAACATCATTTAGATGTTGAATCTGTCACACAAGGCCATCCTCCTGGGCCCTGTTCCAGTCAGACACTGTAGCACTTTTAACATGAGGCAGCATCAGCTTATTTAAAAAAAAGAAAAAGCTGCCATAAAAAGACTAACAAACTACACACTCCTCTAATGCACCCATCCCCACTTCTTTACAGATCCACAGTCTGCTTAAAGACGAGTTAGAGAAACACAATAAGTAAGGGAGCGGGTCCTGCCACCTTTGGAAACGTGCACTGGAGAGGTTAAACATGGCAGTAAAGAGCAGCGTGTGTTTAATGCCTGGTGGTTTTTGGCAGGAGTTGTTGGACGCCTGGAAGAGAAGAGGATCTATCTCTGAGCAGAGCATGTGCTTGAGAAGAAAGACAGCTGTATTGACATGAAGAAACTATGACACATACCCAGTTAACCTACTTGATCCAGTTCCAAAGCATATGAGTGCTTTTTACACAGACAAGACAGAAAGATTTGGGCATTTATTCAAGGGCAAATATGTCAACCGATAAGGGAGAAAAAAAAACAGCAATGAATGAAATAAGCAGAGAGGGGAAAAGGGAAAAAACAGGGATCAGATGAGACCGTATAGACACATGCAAGCTGGAGTTAAAAAAAGAAGATTTGAGTTCTCAGGAGTGTTTACAATGTTTGCAGCCATGTTTAGAGACATAGTCATCAAAGGAAGTGTGCTTCACAATCATTTGCGGCTAGATTCCCTCCAGCTGAGGACTTTTCAACTCATATGATTGTCATCTGGGAGCCTACCGCAGCCCTAATGATCCGATTCATACAGGAGGGATGTTTTCAGAAAAAAAAAAACAACAACAAAAAAACAGGGGTTTAGATCTCACTCAATGTAAACACATGAATCTAAGTTTTCAGTTTCTGTGTGCACATCTAAAGCTAGGTTTTGGTTGAATAAATAATTGAAAAATAAGAGCAGCATAAATGTTAAGCGTTTTCATGTTTTTTATCCATCTATGCATTTGCTGTGTCATATTTAAATAGAACTTTTATAACGGTAATAATCATAGGTCTGAATATGTGTTTGATAAATAGCTGAGCAACCACTGGTGGTTTCCCCAAAGATCTGAGTAACCTGTCTGGATGGGTTCCCCTTAAAATGTTTCCTCTCTTTCCATGAAACTTCTTCAGATCACCTCTGCTTTATAAGTACATTTGGATCAACCAGTTAATGGTGACAATCCAAACTGTTTTTTATCATGCTAAAAGCCAGACAACCGATCGCTAGCGCTCTGAATACTGCTTGTTGCTTCCAGTGGGCTGAGCTTGAAATAAGAGCATAGATCATTGAAGACGGATGGTTTCTCTTGACTAAAATGGCTTCCTTCCTTTCTGCTAACATCCACTCAGCCATGTTGGAAGCTTTTCATAGAAAAAACAAAAAAAACAAAACATGAAGTAATTTAAAATTTTCTACTACATTTTTCAAATATAAGAATAAATCATCAGAACCGTCAAGCTGTAAAGCAGCATTTAGAACTTAACCTAAGCCTAGCAATTAGAGTAGATATCAATTGCGATGCAGCTCTCCAATATTTTGTTCAATTAATAAATAACTGTAGTAACTAGGACTGGGCAATTAATAGCATTAGCAATATAATCACAATTTAGATAAATGCATTTTTCAAGTTGCACTGAAGTTTTAGTCACAATACATTTAAGAGTAAGACACTAAATTCCTCCCTCCAGCCCTTTAGGTGGCAGTAAGATGATTCATTTTTAAATTCATAAATTTAATAATTTAAATGAATAATTAAATAAATAATGAATAAATAAATAATAATATATAAGAATAAACAAATAATAATGAATAATAATTAAATAAATGAATAATTGAATTCATAAAGTGAATATGCTTTTGTGTAGATCTATGCATTATAGTAGAAGTAAGAACTTTTTCATGCAGATGTTACAGTAAAGATCTGCAACACTGGACTCGGGACAAGCAGGCTTTCATGGTCGTGAAAAAAACTGAAACCATGCAGTGAAACATCGACCTGCTTGTGCTTAGTGAAAAGGAAAATCGTAGTAAAATCGCAATAATTAAATTTTTGGTGAAATCGTTCAGGCATAGTTTTGACTATTAATATCATCTTAAGCTGCAAATTAAGCTTAACTCACTGATTTCTAGCTGAATAATATCATTTTGCATATTAACAGTCATTAAACTAATAATATGCAAAATAGTTTACTTATAAATTATTTACTTTGACTATTTGTGCCTAATTAGGTTACAGATAATGCTGTACACTTTCTCCCTCTAAACATGCTATTTTAGTGTTTGAAATGTATTAAATACTGAGAGAATCCACATTTCTACCCGTAAAGTAAATTATATTTTCCAGGTTAGAAGATCTTAGTGGGAGTTCTTTATTTTTTCCTTTCTAATAACGTTTAGAGCAGAAAAAAAAGAAGAAACTGAAAGAAAAACTAAAAATAGGCCCTAACATCACCCCTTAATTCCTTTTTCTGTTTAATGTTATCAATTGCTGGTTGTAAAAGAAAATTATTTTTATTTAAGTAACTTTTTACTGTTCAGATTTGAGACTTACCGTGGAATTACAGTAGCTGGGAAACTTTATTATGCTTGATTACAAAAAAGGTTTAAAGTATTTAAACTTTCATTCTGTTTTTTTTTTTTTAACAACTTTGCACTTTTATCTATTTAAATATGACACAGAACATTTTTCAAAATGTTAATTCACATGTTTTACACCCAATATTTGTAAGATTGAAGATGTTTGATTAAGACATTATTTTTCATTAGAGATGTAACGATTTCAGTGCATTACAGCTGCTTCTGACTTTGAACAACACAGATTTTTATTTTCATAACTGACAATATCAGTTGCTAAAATGTCATAACACACATTCCATTGTCAAATATACTTTAGTTGGAAATCTTTAGAAAATACCTGTGAAACAATAAAAACTTGTGCTCTCAAATATAAAAAGTTTAGAGCATGGACAGGAGGTCCATAAGATGGGTGGGTGAGGTCAAAAATAGGGGCAGATCAATCAGCCAGCTGATCAATCGGTGCATCTCTGTTTTAGCACTAATTGAACTTTTTTTTAAAAATTTTTATCTAAGCTGTTGTGTGCTGTTGAAAAGCACAGGATTATTTCATTTCTTTGCTCCCTTACTGTGTCACTGGCAGAACCACATATAAACTAGAAACATACAAAATAAATACTAAGAGACGAAAAAAGAAGAAAAAACAACAACATGATGGGAGTGAAAGAAACAGAGCCAGAGCAGCAAGGACCTGGGGTCCTCTATTTGTCAGAAGTGTTGCTGTTAACGATCCTCAGACTTTACATCCCAGAATAATCGGATAAAAAGATCACAACTAAATCATAACAACCCTTGTGATTAGCTGACGGAAGTTGATGTAAACCAACAAAGGAGAGCAAGTTAAAGGCTTTGCAGAGACTGTGGTAGAGACCACTGAAGGTGTGGTGGTTGGGGGGGTGGGGGTGGGGTTAAAGTAGAAGAGATTACATACATCATTCCCTTTCTCAGCCTCGGCGTGTGAGAATCTGGCCGCCTTGCCGTTGCGGCTCCGTCGGGTGTGCTCCCCGTTGTGCCACTTGACAGGATTGTTGGGTGTCTGAGACGGTGACGTGTCCGACGCCTTGTGGCCTTCTGCCTTGTGCTTCGAGTTCCATCTGCAAGAGCAGAAAACACAAAATAAAAAATGCTGAGGACTACTGAAGATGAATGTCTGTCTCAAGACAAATATAAATAAAGAAAGACATATAAACAAGCTTAGCAGTCATCAGATCAGTAAGGATGCCAGCAGTCACCATAAGCACTGTCTGAATTGTGTTGGTAGTAAGGAGAGGGGTAGAAAAAGGAAGCAAGATGCTTCCTATCATAGCTACTTTAACACATAAATCGGGCATGTTTATTTATATAGATATCTATATATATATAGATATATATATATATATAGATATATATAGATATATATATATATAATATTTTGCATTTAAGATAAATAAAACTACTTCTTCTGTCAATATGCTCTATCCAGAACTCCTCAAGTTGAAAAGTATTAGTTTCACCTGGTATGATTTTGTAAAAAATCTCTTTAAGGAACCTTTGGTTATCCAATTATTGATCAATTTATGGGAAAAATAGTAATAATCGTTAGTTGCAGCCCTAATCTGCTGTATGAGATGGCAGGTGGGAATGTAATGATTTGCTCTGGTTTTGTTTTTATTATTCAAATAATCAGCTATTAGCTTACTTGGATGTTTTACCCCTAATAATCCACCTTGGTCAGAAATAAAAGATCCATCGTGGACAATAATATGCAGTAATAAAGCAAGCAACTGTCAGATCCTGAGAAAGGGAAAATAACTCAGAGTGGAGGTTTATTTGGAGCATGGTTCATTATTAAGAAAGGGAAGTATTCAATGAAACATGGGATAAACTGGAATGAGGCTGAAGACAGATACTTTTCCATGAAGCAGGAGTGAGAAATCGCAACCATTTAAAGGACACTTAAAGGAAGACATGCTGAGGAGCCCCATTTGTATCCTAATCTTTCCCTTGAGGACTTGGAGTAAATAGGAAAGAGAGATGGATGGTCACCAGAGCAACCGCCCAATCAACTGATCAGTCTCAGCGTGTGAACAAACTGAGCTTGCACGAGTGTGTAAAAGTGTCTACCTGGTGGGAGATTTGGAGGTGCTCCGAGTGGAGGACAGGGAGGCGCTTCGAGAGCTGCAGCAGCTGCCCTGATGCTGCGAGCTCCTGCTGGGGGTCTCACCAGGGGACCTGATGAATGACAGCAGATTCACACACACACACACACACATGCAGGGCAAGATGTAAACATGCACACATCATGGACACACAAAACAAAGCATTCTCAGTCATGAAAACTTGCCGCCTGCAGAGTCAAACCTTCCCAGTTTTTTTAATCAATGGTTGGAATCAAAGTGTTCGAATCTGCCCTTTATATTTGCTCATGCTCTGAGGCTGAGCCTTTAATTATACGTAGGTGTGAAGAACCAATATAAATTTATGAGACCTGTCTCCAAAATTACAGCATGAAGTCTTTTTAGTTACGTCTCTACCACGCTTTGAGCGAGCTCATTGATTTTTTTGCCGAGAGCTCTTTGCCAAACATTTTGAGATAAATCAGATCAGCTGGATAGAAACTTCTATTTTTTTCACCTATAAACGCTTCAGCAGACGGAAGCTGTGTTTGTCCCGTACGTTTTACATAAAGACAGCGAATCTCAGTTTGGCACCTATTTTATATCTTTTCTGTACCTTACAGCAAGTGACAAACCCCGGTATGAAGATGGTATCTGAGGAGTGTCTAAACATTATGTTTATTTATCCTCCTACCTGAGCTGAAGCCCTCTACAGTTTTTCTAGGCATGCTTCATAGTGCTTTTCACCAGAGCCATCTTTGTCTAATCACATCTGCTAACTGTAAACATTCATACACTGATATGCAGGTCAGTAAGCAACCTGGGGTTAAGTGCCTGCTCTTCATTATAAGATGATGGACTGAACAGCATTCTGGAATATTGTTTTATAGCAAAGACGTCATTAACTTCACTGCAACTTCATCCAGACCCTTCTGCTGTGCTTCTTACTCTTAATCATGTTTAGCTGCTCTTCTGATCAGTATACTGCAGACAGCCTAAGATCTAGAGTTTATACATCTTGTAAGTTTCTTCTTTTGTCATATTCTGCTCATTTGCTCTCTATATTGGTCATTGTATTTTCTTGTAAGGGAGCAAGAAAGAAAAAAGGTGTTCCCTATGTGGCTCACCTCTTCTTCTGTTTGTTCTTATCTTTGTGTTTGTTCTTCTGGCTGCCTGACCTGAAAACCAAAGTCAGACAGATGGTAAGGAGGCTGCATAGATTAAAAAACAATAGATCACTGACTGGAACAAAGAGTAATTAACTGGGATTTCATCTGAATAAGATGGATAGATAGATATAAGATAGATATGATGTGATGCGTACCTGTATCTTCTCTTTTTTCTGGAGTCAGATGTTGACCTGTGGAAACAAAATCATCTTACATTTTAAAATTGTGGCACCATGTCAATCAGACACCTGAAGCTTCCAGGTTGGTTAAGGGAATAAGTTCCTCTACCAGTAGGATCACAACCATAAACTTAAAGTCTACAGTAGAAGGGTTTAGATGAGTTAGGGTAAACAATAGAGAGACTTTAGGAAAAAAAACTAATCATCTAACCTGACTAGCATGAGCTATTTTGCAAAGAAACCAATTTCTGTTCCCAGACATGCAGTGAAAGAATTGCATATATAAGGGAAAATGAAGTTTGTAACAAGGACTTCTTCATGCCACTTTTAGATTTTAATATGAATCAGAGTACATTACCTAACAAATGTAATTCAATCTGAAAAACTCGCACAGAGAGAAAAGATAATTAGAAGAATTTTATTGATAAGAAAGTATAGTCTTTGGCGCTCAGGCCTCGGCAGGAACATTCATGCTGAATTATGCTTTAACATGCATAAGTAGATGAATGAGAATAGGGATGTTCCCCCCGGCCTAAAACTGGTGGTGGTTTAGTTCGAGCTGGTTAAGGAGAGGATCTGCTTGAGCTGTATTGTGGGACCAGAGACTACAGGCGCAGACACCGGGGCTTCACTCAGAGACTCAGGAT